ATTTAGAGTAAAATTGAAGGAGTTATCGTCAAAAACATATTGCTCGTATATTTTAAGGAAAAATGAGCAGTAAACTGTACCATTTCCATCAGAATTAAAATTAATCATAGACCTTTTACAATTAGTTTTGTTTTAGTGTTTTTCATACGATCCTGTAGTTTGACCGGTTTAGAATGCATATTTTTTTAATAATGTACGGTAAAAGTTGAAAATGTATTTTTTATTATTCAAAAAAATTGCCTTATTTATATAATAACTGAAACAAACAAAAATACGTAAAAAATAATAGACAACAAAAATGTAGCTTTTTTTTAACAAATATTTTTTTTTCATATAGCATAAAAAATAAAGGAGATATCGCCGCTTGAAGTATTCATTTTAGTGAAAAAAATGACCTGTCTCGAGCTCTTCGATCCTTTCCCTTTAAAAAAACGAACGACTTAAAAGTTTTTATATGCAAACGATCTTACAGCTCTTGAAATTATCTTTAAAATGCTTTTTTGTAGTATCCTACAAACTATAGTATCCTATAATTTAAAAATTAACCGAGTTATAGTAAAAAAACCAATGACATTTTTTTGGAACAAAATAGGCTTTCTTATATATTATATAATTACCTATTATATTATACAAATAAAATAAGAAAAAAAATTTAGTGTGATTATTAGCAAATTTTTTTTGATTGATTGTATTTAAAAATCGATTATAATAAAAATATTTGACATTAATGTTGGTAAAAGGGTAGTTTATAAGAGTTGAAAATGGCAAAAGTAAAATATTCTTTCATAAACAATATAAGGGAATTTTTATTTTAAATTATTGCACTATTATAGCATTTCAAGATTTAAAACGTATTTTTTTATCATTTTTTTAGCACGGGGGTGATTTATAAGGGTTGAAAAGTGTTGTGAGATACAAATTCTTTTATAAGCAATGAGGGAATTTTTATTTTAAATAATTGCACCGTTAGAGCATTCCAAGCTTTTAAAAAGTAATTTTTGTCAATACAGGGGGTGGTTTTTAGAGGTTGAAAGGAAAACATTTTTTATCGTTATTTTTTGCATAGGGGTAGTTTTAAGGGTTAAATAAAGGGTCGAAAAGATCAAACATATCATAAAACATGTTCGAGAACATGGAACATTATTTAATCTTTGTCCTTGAACAAGATTTTTCATCAGATCAATAAAATGCTTAAAACTTAATTTTTTAAATTTTTTTCACTTAGGGATAGTTTTTACCCCTAAAAAACAAAAAGCGTCAATCGGGCTTATGTCACTTTTGAACTTGAGCCTAAGATGAGCCTTATTCTAAATTTTCATGCAAATCCATGCAGTTTCAAAGAATTCGGAGTGTTGGGGTTTGCTTGTCGTGTAAAAACATATTTCAAAGTTTGGCGGGATCCACAGCGCCATCGCGCTCTTGCCTCTCCCCACTCCACGTATCATATCATAGAATTCATAAAGTGAAACTGATAACTGAAATGTAAACTATTCCAGTTCTAGTTAAGTTGTCTGTCGCACGTGTGTGCATAATTTTTTATATTTTCTCATATCATTGTATCACAGTTTGTGTATTCAGTATTTTTACTTTGTTCTACAACAATAAAGGATAGTTCTCTGTGTACATGCAAGCTTATTTATGAGCATAAAAACAACTATTTAGTCCACATCCCCGCTCGATGAGCACACAACAAAGACAAAGAAGAAAAACCAGCAAATAAGTACTATATCCCTAGTACGCGGATGTTACTGCTGATTTTAAACTTCAATGACTGCTGTACTAATTGTCTATAATATTCGCGATAATTTTTAAGATGCAAGCACACCAAGCGGCGAAAGCAGTAAGCTCCGAAACAAGGTAATTTTGACATTGCCGTTCGCGTTTACACATTCATTTGAACAACATTTATTTTATTTGCCATTATTATTAGTAATTTTGTTATCAAACTGCGGTTATTTCATTTGTGTGTTATTTTATAGGTTTCAAATATTTCATAAATAAATTTTAAGGCAAGTATTTATGTCTACTTTATTTGTCTCTAGCATTACAATGTAATGTACATTTTATTAAGTTATAACTATGAACTTATCCGTTGTGGAATACATTTCCTATTTACATATATTATAACGAAAACTTTTGTTGTATAATAGAAGGAGAGGCAGTTTTTAAGGCTGATCATGTGGTACTATATGGGAAAATTGAGCAAAGTTAATTTAAATTTAGAAATTTATATTATGTCTGCAGACTAGTGCCCTTACTTACTAACAACCCTCATGAAATTCAGGGAGCATTATCTACCGGCAATAATATTTTGAAAATTTCTTCAATGGTTTGATGAAAACTTAATTCTGGATTTTTCTTGGACCATGAAAAGCAACCTTGAACTGAACAATAATAGTTTGACAGTTTCTTCTTTCTATCCATAATTGCTGAAATTTTCCTCACACTATTTTCTTAAAATAACAGTGTTCAAAAAACGAACACTAAATACAGTTTTAAATAAAATACAAAACGAAATGTCACACACAGAAGAAATATTTACCTTGTTTCGCTAGTATCACTTGTCACCGCCAGAGGGCGAGCACTTAGCTGCATTCGCGAATACCTTTCATGATATACCATGGCGTAATTTAATTCTAGAATTTTAGAACAAATTAAATAAGGTTCTGGGTACCTACTTATTTTAGAATCATCTTATAAAAAACCAGCGATATATGAGAATATGTGAACAAAATTTCCATTATATTTTATTGAGTTGTTCCCGGTAGAAAGGTGATAAGATTCCGTAATCTAGGGTTATAAATAGTTAGAATTGATAGCAAGATCTTATGACCTGATTACGTGCAACCTAAAAATTAAGGAAAATTAATACACTTGTATTTCTTCAATAAGTTGTGCTTCAAGCTAGTTTAACTAGATCAGGTAAGACATTTAACTAACTTCAGCATTTTATAAAAAGTAACATACTGCCATTGTGATAAAATTATAAATTTATTATATTGGACCCTTGTCGAGAATAAATAGGTCAGTTAATAGAGCATATCAGTGATTTTGTGACAAAATACTATTAGCAAACGGACTGTGCCAGACTGTAAAGACAGTCCGTAGATATATGCTTAAGTATATGTTTCCTACTCCAATTTACCATTAATAAATTTTTTATAAAACCCGAAAAAATCGGAAAATTTTGCGTTTTTTCATAAATTTATTACTCCGCCCATTTTTAAGTCGTAGAGCTGACCCTGTACACGAAAGTAGTGAATTATATGTACTTTGAGTGTGCACAAAGCAGCGCTGTCGTACCATTAGTTTTGGCACAATTCCGATTTGAATTTTTTGGTGCACTATTTTGCAAAATTTCTGGATGCGTTGGAGGTAGTCCCGATTATAATTTTTCAACCGGATATTAAAAGTAGAAGTCTAATACTAACAAAACGTATATTCTAATTTTCCGATAAAATGATGCGAAATAGGTGAAAAATTCCTGCCCCAATGTATGTCCTAATCAATCTACACTGTATTCTCTGTTTGTAACAAAAAACTCACTTAATGTTTTTTTGATGTAGTTTTACAGTTATTTTCAATTTATTCAACTGAGTGGCAAGTAAATTGTAACCGATTAAATGATAAACGCGAGATAAACAACAAATTCCTAGTATTAGCTATCCAAATATAAGGCATGATCTGCCAGTGATTGACGAACGGTAAGGTGCGCCTTATCTTACTCATTTATTACAGTATTAGAGATTTTATCTAATCAAAGTTTTTGACAACTCGAAAAACAAAATAAACATGTGTTGCACCAACTTCACTTTTAGCTTAAAACCCTCCCAAAGTAATTTGTTGTCTTCTAATAAAGGTATTGATCAAAGTTTAATTCATGCTTTGTGGAAAACTTATTTATTGAATTCCTATTGGAATAACATTATTAATAAATATTCGAGGGTAATAATAGAGCTCAGATTTAGCCGGATATTTTTATGTTCGTTTTCGAGTACTTACTGTCGTCGCAATTTAACGACAGCTGTCGTGACAAAATCACGAGAGCGTAGCTCGGGAGATTCTGTTGAACGGCTGGAGTTAAATTACCTACGAAAGTAAGTATGAGAAAACAATCATAAAAAAATATCAGGCTCAAAATCTAAGCTTGAATGGTATTTGGTAAGGCAATTGCACGAATAGAATAATGCCAAAATTTAATAAAAAATTCATGTAAAGGTACAGAAACAAAGGACAATGAATGCGTATTAATAATAAACAGAATATTTTTTTAAAGTGAACAATTATTAAAAAACGCAATTATTGTAAATAATTTGCCCTGTTTACGTTGACTGTTAATGGTTATCTTCTGGATGGTGATGGTATGGCTGATTTTAACTTTGTTAAATACAGTTTTTAACAAAAACAAAAATTAAAGGCACTGCTTAGAGAAAAATTCACATTTTGAAGGTTTCATTTCACATTTGATCACTGCTCATGGCTTACCAAGATAAGCAAAACTTTTTATCAAGAATTCGCGATTTACTTTTTATTAAAATTTTAAAAATAAAGATTTTAATTAAAAAATCCGGTACAGTTTGGTAGAAACTATCTCCAAATTAGTATTTTCTATGTTTCTAAACGTTGTGCATCTATATATATATATATTTTTTGTAGGTCTCTTATCCGTCCAGACAATGGGGGATACTTACAAAAAGAGCAAAGGAAATGCAGGTCTCGAAGGGGTTCAATTTCAACTGAACCTGTTGACTGTGTTCTTGCTGAACGCCATCCACAGCCGGAAAAACTGGAAAATCTCCACGGAAAACAAGGAGGCGGGAAAGTTCGACGACCTCGTGCTCGATTTGAAAGATGAATGCGTTTTGCTGCAGGCCAAGTTCAAACAGACCAAGAAAATCAACAAGGATCAACTCTTTTCGTGGAACTCGAAGACCGCCGACTTCAGTCTCCCCAAATACTTTTTCTCCTACCTCGAGGTTAAGTCTGAGTCCGTGGAGAAGACTGTCATCGTTTGCACCAACACAAGCATCGACGAGAAAGACTTGAAGCGTTTTCTGACCCGTCATACTACCGGACCCGACAGCATGCTACACTGCGAAGGGGCCTCCTGTCAATTTTTTACGTTTAACGAGAACATCCTGCTTGAGTTAAAATCCAGCGCAGAGATTTACCTTGATAAAAATTTACAAGGCAAAGGCTTCGACAAAGAAGTAGTGACAGACGAAAACGTCAGGGACTTCCTGAATCATTTACAATTTTTTTCGAATTATCCAAGCGGAAACAAATTAGATAAAATTATTGAACGTTTATTGACACGCTTGAACAGCTCTGCTTTGTATCGAAAGGTATCCTCGCAAGAAATATACAAGAAAATAGAGGATTGGTTTAAACAGCCAAAAGGTGAATACCTGACTGAGGATCGAGCTAAAATCATGTTTGGAGAAATAAAGAGCGACAAGTACTGCGAACAACTGAAGAACTACTACGTATCGTTTAAGCAGGACGATGCTTTTAGCTTCACGGATACGAAAAGAATCTTCCACGTCAGTTCCCAAGGGGGACATTTATTGCCAGTGCTGAAAATTTATCACGCTCTTCAGAAAGACGAAAGCAAGAAACTATACGTGAACCCTGAGGATGCACTTGAAGTACAGCGCCAAATTCTCGAGGCGTTTGGACTTTCTCGCTACACCTTCTTGGTGATAACTGGGGTCAAAATTACTGAAGAAACTGCGATAAAGGAAATATGTGGCAAATTAAAGGATGCAATAAAGAAATGCGCATACAAGAAGGTGATTTTGGTGGCCGAACCTAACGACAGACTCGGCCAACAAATTGGACCAGACGATATTTTCCACGTTGACGGATCTGTGACGTTCGAAGACCTCTCGGAAGAATGCCAGAAGAATTTAGTGAATAAAAAGAATATATGTTTTCAAGGAGAGGAAGTCAGCTTGGAAGAACTGTTAACGACGCAAGCAAGTAAGGACTGGGCGAGAGCTGTGGATTCCGACATTCTGGAAAGACTGATTAGAAATAAACGAATCAAAGTAGGCGTACCAACGTTAGACCTAAACGATGGCAACTCGCGATGCTACGTACGTCGTACGTTTAAAAGGCAGGTGTATAAGAGTGAGGGAGACCAAGACAGTGACGAGTTACGAGTAGAACTATCGCCAACGATACCTTTAAGTTTGGTTGGAGAAAGCGGTGACGAGATAAGTGAGGAGATTTTTTCAGAGGAAGGCATGTATGGCGTGATGGAAGACGTGGTACTTATCTCGGACGGTGCGGGAATGGGGAAGAGCACCGTCGTCGCCAGACTGGCGACGCTCGTAAAAGAAAGAAATCCTCACTTGTGGGTGATCAAAATCGAACTCTCCGAGTACACCGTCATCTTAAGGGACCTGAAAAAGAGCGGGGAATCCCTAACCGTAACGAAACTGTTGAATTCTGAAAAGGCTACGGAACTGACGAACCATTTAGAAAGGTTCGTATTTTCCGTGGACAAGAAGGTCGTGCTGGTGCTCGACGGGATCGACGAGATCAGTCCCGATTATACAGGGCTCGTTCTGGACCTGCTGACCCAATGCCTGCAAGCGGCCAACTTTGCCAAACTCTTCGTTACCACGAGACCCCACATGGTGCGAGAATTGGAAGAAGTTTTGAAAGTGAAGCCGTTCGTGATGCAACCGTTCACGGAACAGAACCAAGTGGACTTTCTCGCTAGTTATTGGCTGCACAATCTGAGCGTAGATGTCGAGAATAAAGGCAAGTGTGAGCAGTACGCCAGGGCGCTAATAAACAGGATGTCATCGTGGACGAAGGGATATTACCAGAAGGAAGACGACTTTACTGCGATACCCCTGCAACTTGTTATGCTGGCGGAGATTTTTCAAGAGAGCATAAAACAGAAGGAGTTGTCGTACTGGGAAGGATGCATGGAGTATTTAAAGGAGACGAGGGTGGAGCCGAAGCTGCCGGAAAAGATGAGAATCAAGGAACTATTCGAGATGTTTATCGTGAAGAAGAGGGACATCTACATATACAAAGGAAATCCCACTGGTACCTCGATGGCGAACAGGGCGTTGATTAAACAGTTTAACGAGTCGCTCACTTGGTACAGAAAACTCGCTTTGGAAATGGTCCTACACCAGAAAGACTGTCAACTATTCTCGCGTTACCGACAAAGTTGCGAGGACATCGACGAAGATACACTGATAATAGGAATTGTGCAGGTATCGAACGGGGGCGTTCGCTTCATCCACAGGACTTTCGCAGAATACTTTGTGACGGAAAGCCTAATCGACGAGTTGCAACTTCAGTCACGCAATCCCAACGTAAGCTTCCAGGAGTTCTTCATAGACCACATATTAAAGTCTCCCAATTACAAAATTATCCGTGCTTTCCTCGATAATTTCCTACAGAAGGCGGTGGACCCCATACCTCCAAATATTTTCGAGTGCTATCGGTCCCAGGCATGTCACTTTTTCGATTCTACCCACTACGACCACCTCGTTCATCTCCTGGCAAGAGAAGGTTGCGTCGCGGTCCTGCAACTCATACTCGAGAGCGTGCACTTCAGGGCTATCAGAGACAAAGAAGTTAACATCGAAGACCTGCCGTCCCTTAACACGGACGCGAATGCGATCGCCTCCCCGGAAATTGAACGAAACACGCTAAACGTCATACAGGTTTTGGTGCGAGAGGGCGGGCTCAACATCAGGAACAGGTTCGGACTGACGCCGCTTCACGAAGCCGCTAGAAACGGCCACTCGGAGATGGTGAGGTATCTCTCCGAGCAGGGGGCTAAAATCGACAGCAGAGACGCGGAGGGTTACACGGCAATGCATCTGGCTGCAATGAAGGGCGATCTGGACAGTGTGGAGTACCTCGCAAGAACCGGCGGCCATGTCAATATCAAAGACAACGCCGGGCTAACGCCACTGCACTTCGCCGCATGGAACGGTCAGTTGGACACTGTAAAATTCCTGATTGGACTGGGCGCAGACTTCAAGGCCGTAGACGAGTACAATCGCACGCCGCTACGATTGGCCGCCTTGAAGGGTCACTTGGACACTGTGAAATTCCTTCTTCGAAAGGGCGAAGATGTGAACGATAGAGACAGCAAAGGCTTCACGGCGTTGCATTATGCCGCCGCTAACGGTCATTTGGACACAATCGAATTCCTTCTGGAATTGGGTGCCGATTTCAGTGTCGGGGACAATGAAGGGGGCACGCCGCTGCATTTGGCTGCCAGGAGGGGTCAAACGGACGTAGTCGTATTTTTTGTCAAGCTCAGCGGTGATGTCAATGTCGCAGACGACAAGGGACGCACGACGCTTCATTTTGCTGCGTCGAGTGGTCACTCGGATATAATCAAATTCCTTCACAAGCTGGGCGCAGATTTAGTTGCTAGGGATAATGAGGGGCTGACGGCACTGCATTTGGCTGCTTCGTATGGTCACTTGGATACAGCCAGATTCCTTCTGGAACAGGGTGTAAGTGTCAATGTTGGAGATAACGACGCCACCACGCCGCTACATTTTGCTGTCCACAATAGCCACTTGGACATGGTCAGATTCCTTCTCGAACTGAGTGCAGATTTCAACGCTAGAGATCATGCCGGCACAACGCCACTGCATTTGGCTGCCTCGAACGGTCACTTGGACATAGTTAAGCACCTTTTAGAACTGGGTGCAGATTTCGATGTTCGAGATAATGATGGAGCCACGCTGCTGCATTTGGCTGCCAGGGAAGGCCAACTGGTCGTTGTTGAATTTCTTGTACAACTCAATGACGTCAATATCAAAGACAGCAACGGACGTACGCCGCTGCATTTTGCTGCTGCGGGCGGCCACTTGGAAGCAATCAGACTCCTTCTAGACCTGGGCGCAGATTACAATGTTGGCGATAATGAGGGCATGACAGCACTGCACTTTGCTGCGGCGAATGGTCGGTTGCACGCTGTTAAATTCTTTGTCGAACTGGGTGTAGATGTCAATGTCGGTGATAACGATGACAGCACGCCACTGCATTTGGCCGCCAGGGGAGGTCAACTGACCGTTGTCGAATATCTCGTGAAACTCAACGGTGACGTCAATATCGCAGACAACAACGGAATGACAGCGCTGCATTTTGCTGCTGCGAATTGTCACTTGGACACAATGAAATTCCTTGTGGGGCAAGGCGCCGATCCCAATATCAGGAATAAAGATGAACGCACGGCAATGGATTTCTTCAGACAAAAGTCATTCGGGTACGGACAAAATCCCAGTTTTTAGCCCGTTCGCCAGAATCCTAACCTTGACAAGAACCATCCTCAAATTGGAAACTGTTATGTATGAGACACGATTGGGAATAGAAATGTAACGGAAAATAGGTAAGTACTAAAGGGTTGTAAATACTTCTTACTGCTCATAAACTGAAACAATTTAATGGCAGCATCAAAGAATAAAAACCGATTATCTTTCCTTTGTTTAGTTTTGTTTATATGAAGAATTATTAAATGCACAGATATTTTATTCAAAATTCCATTTATTATGTGAAAATTAACTTTTAGTCCACTTACTCAGGGTTTTTACCTCCGAATTCTTTATAACTGAACCGATTGACATGAAATTTTGACTGAATGTGGGGAATGCCTCAAGGAACAAAACTTACATAGTGCCGAAGTGTGCTTGGGGGTGGAAATTTTTACGCCCAAAATAACCACAGAAATCGATAGAGGAGTCAGTTTTAAGTAATAAATGTTATATAAAGTTTTTTGGATAATCCAATACTTTCCGAGTAATTCGTCATTGAAAATGTTGGTTTTACTGAAAAAGTGCTTGTTTTCGTACAGTTTTTTGCAAATAACTCTGAAACCATTGGATTTAACGAAAAAGTTGTAATGAACACAAAGAAAGGTAATAAAAAACAAATCTAATGGCATTATTTTGTTTTTCTCTAATTGCAATATAAACCGAGTTATGGATTTTTAAACATTATTATATGTTAACTAAAAACTAAATTGGAACCAGTTAACGTTAAATAACGCCAAAACCATAAATATTAGGAAAAAAACTATTTGAACCTTTTTTGAAGTACTTTGAAAAACATTTAAAATGAGCTGTTTTAAAAGCCTTTAGAATCAAAATTAACAGAAATATGATCGAAATAACATGATAGTCTAATTTTTTTTAAGAAAACATTAATAAACAAATCAGTGATTTCTTCATTTATGTTCTAAGGATATGTTCTGGGTCTTTGGCTCACTTACAAAGCATGATGTTGAAAATTGAAAATGTTAATTTTTCAAATTTTTGAAAAAAAATCGATTTTTACGCTGTAACCTAAAAATTAAAGGGTGTACGAAAAACATACAAGAGTAAAAAAATTTAGCTTTATTTTTGCTGAAGATTTTGTTTAATTTTTTTATTCCTCTAAAATTAATATTAATCGAGATATCTCTATTTTAAGTTATCATATGAATGAAAGAACCACCCTTTTCGATCCCTTTAAACCCTTTAAACTTAAAAATGAAGGGCTTAAAAAAAATCAACTCAACAGTTCACATAGCCCTTACAATTCCCTTCAAAATGAGCCTTTGTGCGATTAAAAATTTTAAAAAGTAAGAAAGTTATCGTCAAAAAAATAAACACGTGTATAGATAATTTTAGGAAAATTTAGCTCAAACAAGAATATTGAAGCATTTAGATCTTTTTTGTATATTTACACGTATTTAGTAGGTGAATATTCGAATAAACCAGTACTATACTATATTATAATAAGAGAATAAATGTTCATTTAATACGAATGCACATTTAAAATGTTTCTACTCTTTCAATAATATTTTTTCATTTTATTTTCTAACGAAGTGGCATTTTTCAAGGGTTGAAAAGTTGTAATCGATAAAAAAGATTTTTTAATCAAGAAATCAATTTTAATTTGATAAAAATGCATGATTAACACGTTTCAAGTTGAAAAAATTTTTTTTATATTATTTTCATCCAAAGGGGGTGTTTTTTAAAGGTTTTTTTCGGTTGAAAATTTGGGATACATTAAGTTTCATGTTAGATAGCACATGAAATTACTCATACTGCATAAATAAAAAAGATTTGATTACATGAAATGCTTAAATTTGTATTTTTTCTTTTTTTTCCAATAAGGGGTGGTTTTCAACCCTTAAGAACAAAATGCACACCTAGCGCATATATAAATTTTGAAGTGGGAGGTAAGATGAGCCTAATTCTAAATTTTGAGAAAAATCAATGCAGTTATAAAAAATTCAGAGGTATTACTATATTTTCAGCTACAGTAACTGGGCTATATAGAAAAAGGAACTAAAAAAGTTCCTAACGAAAACTTTGAGCTCCCTCAACGTATTCAACTGATTTTAGTTAGCCTTTCACTTTATTTTGTACGTTTCTGTATATCTAATTAAAAAAATTAATATGCAGTGAAAATGTTTCAGGAAACAACTTTAATGAATTAGCCATTTCAGAAAAAATGGTCAGCTTCAGCTGAAAAGTTTTACCGCATGCAGGTCAAAGAAGGATTGATATGTGTGTTGAGGAACTTCAAAGTTAGCTTGGTTGTTAGATATTAAAAAAATATATAATTGTTCACAGAGAGCTACCTAGTTTTATTTACGTAGGTGTATATTAACACTAAAAATGAGAAGTTGGATAAAATTTATAATTTTGGAGTAATTTGACCATAACAGAGACGCTTCAACTTTGTAGATAAATAGGAAAAATATGCTATAATAAAACTTTCGTATTTTTTCCAAGGCAATAAGTCTTGAAACCATTGTATGAGAATTCTTAGTTTTCCCTAGATTTATTTGGCAATAAATTTAAAGTCACAGTTTTGGAGCTGCTACTAACTCTGGTGGTATCTCGGACATCTGAACATCATTAACACTGTCCATTTTCAATATTTTTTTATGTATTTTATCACTGACAGGTATTACAACAAATTTGACTTTTATCACAAAAATTAATAAACAATGATTGTAAGCTAAACGACTTCAAGCAATTAAATTGTAATGAAGACATGTTAGGTATACAACAATACAAAAAAAAATGTATGTGAACCTCATAGTAAAAGCCAGTGGCGGCTCTTGACTTCCGTACCAGGAAGGGCAGAAAAATGTAGGTACAAACTATAGAAAAAAAATCAAATATAAAATGATAGTTTTTATTTTAAGCGCTATTAAAATATAGGGAAAATTTACTCAACGTTATTTTTTATAGCGAAGGTCCATCTTTTGTCCGAAATAAACTTTTCAATTACTTTTTCATTAAAGTTGTTTGGTATCTCGAATACCATTGATTTATCAATAGATAGCATGACCAGTGCTACAATCAATTTAAACTTTTTAAATTTTTAAAAAAACAAGAAACAATATGCAAGTAATTGAATAAATTGTTCTTATTTAAAAAAATGCGGTTAATAGCTGTTTTTTGGTTACGGCCGGACAAACTGCGTAGTAAATATGCGCTACTCCCTCCCTGCTTCGCGACGGTAACCATGACCACCACTGTTTACACTTTACAGATGTTGAGCCGGGCTACGTTTAGCCCACGTATTAAAGTTAAATTGATTGCACATTACAAATTTAACATTTCCTTTTTAATGTGTAGCATAAGGCTAATCTATTTAATTGCCCAGATAACATTGTAACTAAATTTTAAATTTTTTTTTTAATATGAAAATTCCTAGGGGGCAGCGCATATTGGAATAGTCATTGAAGCTTTTCACCTCCGAATTCTTTGAAACTGAACCGTTCGACTTGAAATTTGGCAGATAGTTAGTTAGAGAAAAGGTCAATGAACATTAGTGACATAGCGCCCATTGACGCTTCCACCCTGTTGGGGGTTGACCCCCCTTCTCGGGGGTGGACATTTTTTTCAAAAATAACACTGGAAATCGATGGAAAATCAAATTTTGAGCAAAAAATATTCGAAGAAGTTTTTCGAAAAATCAATAGTTTTTTAGTTATTTACGATTGAAAACATGGAATTTTGAGTGAAAAAAAAACACTCAAAATATTTTTCGCGAATAATTAAAAAACTACGCATTTTATTTAAAAAAGTGTAATTAACAAATATGTAGCTTACAAATAAACAAAGAAAATCGTTTTTTAAAAAGTGTTGTACGTCCTATATAAAGCGAAATATGGTTAGTGGAAGGGGACTTGTTTTGGGGGGCATACTCGAATCGATGTATTCAACGTCAAATAACAGAAAAAGGATTAATTTTTGCGTGTTGCGCCCCGGGAGTTTTTTGTAGTACTCAAAAAGACCTTCAAAATGAGCACTTATAAAAGTTAATTAGAGCAAAATTGAAGGGGTTATTGTCAAAAACAGAATTAAAATTAATTGTAGACGCTTTACAATTAGTTTTGTTTTAGTGTTTTTCATACAATCCTGAAGTTAGGCCGGTTTAGAATGGGTATTTTTTTTTTAATAATGTACGGTAAAAGTTGAAAACGTATTTTTCATTATTCAAAAGAAATGCCTTATTTATATAATAACTCTGAAACTATGAAAGATACGTAAAAAGTAGTTTTTTTTCAAAAAATATTTTGCAGTTTTTTATTCCTATAGCCTAAAATATAAAGGAGATATCGCCGCTTGAAATATCCATTTTAATGAAAAAACGACCTGTCTCGAGCCCTTCGATCCTTTCCCTTTAAAAAAACGAAGGACTTAAAAGGTTTTATATGCAAACGATCTTACAGCTCTTAAAATTATCTTTAAAATGCTTTTTTGTAGGATACTATAGCTTCAAAATTAACCGAGTTATGGTAAAAAAACCAATGACATTATTTCGGAGCAAAATAGACTTTCTCATTTTTATATATTATATATAATTATTATATTATACAAATAAAATAAGTAAAAAAATTTAGTGTGATTATTTATATGTAGCGTAGCAATTTTTTTATGATTGATTGTATTTAAAAATCGATTATAATAAAAATATTTGACATTAATATTGGTAAAAGGGTAGTTTATAAGAGTTGAAAATGGCAAAAGTAAAATATTCTTTCATAAACAATATAAGGGTATTTTTATTTTAAATTATTGCACAGTTATAGCTTTCCAAGATTTAAAACATAATTTTTTATAATTTTTTTAGCACAGGGGCGATTTATAAGGGTTGAAAAGTGTTATGAGATACAAATTTTTTCATAAGCAATGAGGGAATTTTTATTTTAAATAATTGCAACGTTAAAGCAGTCCAAGCTTTTAAAAAGTAATTTTTTATCATTTTTGTCAATACAGGGGTGGTTTTTAGGGGTTGGAAGGAAAAAATTCTTTTATTAGCTATAAGGTAATTTTTATTTTAAATAATTGCACGATTCAATCATTCCAAATCTTTAAAAAGTAATTTTTTATAATTATTTTTTGCACAAGGGTAGTTTTTAAGGGTTAAATAAAGTGTCAAAAGTATCAAATATATCATAGAACATGTTCGAGAACATGGAACATTATTAATTTTTGTGCTTGAACAAGATTTTTATCAATAAAATGCTTAAAACTTAATTTTTCAATTTTTTTCAATTAGGGGTAGTTTTTACCCCTAAAAAACAAAAAGCGTCAATCTGGCTTATGTCACTTTTGAACTTGAGCCTAAGATGAGCCTTATTCTAAATTTTCATGCAAATCCATGCAGTTTCAAAGAATTCGGAGGTACTAGAAGCACAACAGGATTTTTGGGACAAGGTGTGTAAGTGTATACAAGGTGTTAACGAAGTAAGTACTCAAAATTGGAAAGTATGTAAAACATGTTGAAATATGATGAAAACCTTAGTAGCCTTTTTGTCAGTGGCGGCTGCTAAGGGAGATCGATGCAGCCCTTTGAAGGGGTAACTCAGGAAACAGTTTTTATTTCATAACTTCAAAACGGTTTAATATTAAATCACGAAATTTTGGGGTTGTATTACTACTATTTATATGCTTAATAATCGGCATTATATACGAATCAAAATTTGCTACAGGGGCGTAAGAAAATGCGGAAACATGGAGCAAATTTTACAATTTTTTTTGTAGGCAATTTTTTCTATTTCCTGAATCGAAAATATGAAAAAAAATCATATTTTGCATAAAAAAGGCACTCTTGTATATCACAAAAGAATATTAGAAATATTTGAAAAATTACTCACACCATTTATACTGTTTCAAAAACGCTTCTGAAATGGAAATTATCTAAAGTTGAGAGCATTATGAGAACAATATGGTAATAAAATTATTATATTACTCAAACATTTCTGAAAATATACTGAAACGCGCCACGCGCCATTATTCTATGGCTAGAAATTGGCCTCAATGATTTGGGATCGAGGGGGATTATCCCTCTTTATCCTGCCTCATCTCGTGTAGGCCTGGNAAGAAGAAACTACATGTAATTTTAAAAATTATATCTGCTTTTATAATAAAGGAATGGTAATTATAAGATTGTTTAACCTTATTAACTAAAAATTAATGCCTACTTAATAAAAAAAATATTGTCCTCGATAATCTATTAATGATTAATAAAATCTTTACTCTCTTTCCTTATAATATTGTATGTACACATATTGGAACCGTTCCTAAAAAATCGAGCCGTTTACGTCCAGCGTAATTCGTAAATTTATTAGACTTCGTCGTTCGGTTAAAAAACACACCTTGAAGCGTTGGCCGCTAGAGCAGCACCTGCCGGGGTCCAGTTTCGTGACGCACACTGGGCGATATTTTTTGTACAAAATCCCGTCCTTAACTAGACTTACTCTTAATGTACTTAAACTCTTCCTTCTGTCATAGATTTTCATAGAAGTACGAAACGTTCTAAACTATAGCCCATGTTCAGAAATCTATGAATGGAAATAATAGAAAACCAGCACAGATTGACCATGAGAAATCAGCGGAGTCATCGCTGAGTGTGATCGAATGTCTACCCTGGTCAAAGTTCCATAATCCTTAGGGTCCAAGTCAAGGACCTGGATAGGAAAACATGTCGTAGACTAACTGTCAATGCCCTCAATGAAGACGGTAGACGGACATAGATCACATTGCAAAAGAAAAGTTTGAAGGAAGAAAATAGGTCACCAAAAAAAAATATACTATATGCGCCTAAAGTAGAAAAACGGGTCAATTAAGGTCAGAAATCGCAAATTTTCAAAAAATAACATATTCCCGCCACATTTGGTATACGCGGGTTTTCATAGTCGCTGATCACGGATCCAAGGTCAATTTTGCAAAATTCAAGATGGCGGACCAAATTTTCAAAAAATATCACATTCGCGTCAAATTTCGTATACGGGGGTTTTCGGCGTCGCTGATTACGAATTTGAGGTCAGAATTGCAAAATTCATTTTGTAATTTATTTGTTTACTTTATAACCTGAGTACCCAACCATGTTTTAACCTTTTTGAAGTACATAGGTAATTGATTTAATTTTTAAAAACGGATTGTGGTCCCGAAAACCCCCGTATACCAAATTTGGTGCTAATGTGTTATTTTTTGAAAATTTGGTCGACCATCTTGGATCCGCCATCTTGAATTTTGAAAAATTGACCTCGGATCCGTGATCAGCGACCCCGAACACCCCCGTATACCAAATTTGGCGCGAATGTGTTATTTTTTGAAAATGTGTGGTATCTGACCTTAATTGACACGTTTTTTGAGGTTAGAAAAAGAGCCATCAATTCTGAGCGCGGATTCACTTTTGGCGGAGTCTTAACCATGTAAATGAACATTTCAATATAGAAAAAATTTTTTTTGCTATTTTTGACCTATTTTTTGAGGTTAGGAAATTCCTGTGATGTGATAACTCAATTCTGACACCGGCTTCGTGATCAGGAGGCAAAAATACTAAGGATAACATATGTTGCATGAAAAGTACAGACAACTTTTTTTTGTGTGGCTGTGTTATTTATGTCCTCAATTTTCTTTACATAAATTATAAATTGTCCGTCGAATTACGTCTCTCATCATGTCATCGATATTTTTAATTTTTTATTTTCGCTTCCTTTTTACGCAATGATTGTAACCACCTTGTTTAATAAATACTCTAAAACTTTAGTTAATATGTGAATTCTATTTATAATTTCATTAAATCTGATTTTTCGTTTTCTTACTTTTTTTAAACAATCGTAAATATTTAAACTGAAACGCTGGCATTGACCATGTAAATATTTATGTTTAAATTCTAAATCTGCTTCATCAACAACCGGTTCTACTAATTCAATTTTGTCTGGTGGTATTTCGTTTTGCTCCGTTTCAAAAGGTCTGCAAAATGCCATGTAATATTAGTAAACAAAATATCCCTCTTATTTCTCCCTTTCGCAATTGTAATATGAATGGTTAATAGAAGGTGCCTATAATAAATTAAAATTACCTAATTCACACTAAATTTCGCATTGCTGCACTGCACTGCTAGGCCATTTGCCGACAACTGAAATTGATCTGATCGCCCAGTGTGGCCGTTTGCCCGCACGCTCATTCTTCAACTGGGCGACTAGACCTGTATATGGGTGTGGCAATGCCGAGTTGTTACGTAGCGACCAAACCTGGTACATACTGAGTAGCTCTTTGGTCTTCAATTGAGATCGGAAAGGCCATACATTTTGAATTAAATTGAACATAATAATTATTTATGTGCGTAGATTAGAAAGTGGAACGAAAAGTATGGGCACTTTCTAAGTGTGGTGCGTACAATATTTTTCGTGCCACCGCCAATAATTTGACAATAATAGGACTACAAGAGAGTATACTCGTATATCGGTCATGAATTAATATCAAGTAGGTGTAACTTATTTGTTATTAATTAGTTGAACGTGCATAAAGTACAATTATTTTTATTTTTATATTGAATGTCCATTGTTCCGTTTTTGTTCGAAGTAACTTTTGAATTACTTTTTCATCAAAGTTTGATGTTTCTCGTACCATTAATTTTTCCACAGTTAAAAAACACAAGAAAGAAGACGTAGGCAACAAAATTTTACAAACAGACTCAATGCTCCACAATTTGCATCGTCGTCTGGGGATTTACTGCTTTTACTACTAGGTACCCCCCCCTCCCCTAAATTAGTAATCTTTGCGCTTTTAAGATTAGAGTTTCTTCCCATTGTACTATATGCTATATGCCTTATGCTATAATGACCAGCCTCATGGTACAAAAATACATAATTATAACATATCTACTATGATAAAGCCAGCATATCAATAACTTTGACGACTTTGAATTAAAACTCAATCAACAACCATTAATTTGTTTTATTAAGAAACAGCAGCAACCACAGTTTCATTTTATAACTAATATATACAGATATTTGTAGCTTTTTTACCTAATATTAATCCTAACTACTAATATTCTATCGTCACACACTTCGTCTTCANGTAAAACAAAAATATCGAGGGCATAAACGGAACATAAAAAGAATGTTGCTGAAACGTATTTTGGGGAGGACACCTTGGGTTTCTAGAACGTTACCAGAACGTTGCATGGATTTTTTATGGAACGTTTCGAGAAAAATGGACACGCTGAAACATGTCAGAAACTTAAAAATGTTTAGTGGAAATTTTTGAGCAAGTAATGAATTATTGAAATGGATTTTACTAGAAAAAGGCTCATACTGTCAAAATCTAACAAGAGCACCTTTTTTATACAAAATATGATATATTTTCATATTTTCGGTTCAGGAAGTGGAAAAAATTGCGTACAAAAAAAAATTGTAAAATTTGCCCAATGGTCCCGCATTTCCTTACGCCCCTGTAGCAAATTTGGATTTGTATATTGTGCCGATTATTAAGCATAAAAATAGTAAAACAACCCCAAAATTTCGCGATTTAATATTAAACCGTTTTGAAGTTATGCAATAAAAACTGTTTCCTGAGTTACCCCTTCAAGGGGCTGTATCACCCTTAGGGGCTGCCACTGACAAAAATTCTACTAAGGTTTTCATTATATTTCGACATATTTTACATACTCTCCAATTTTGAGCACTTATTTCAAGTACCTAGGTGGTGGTGGGCCAGCACTCAACAATTGTGAAGTAAATTTTAAAGTAAATATTCACCGTGAACTTATTTTTTATAATTTTCATTGACCTCTTCTCAAGTAGTACGCCTATAGAATCTTGTCCTCTGCACCCCTCACCTCCCTTCCTCGTTTAAGTGCTGGATATGAATCAATGGTCATTATTATGGAACACGGGTATAGACGACTTTGAATTAAAATTCGACCAACAACCATTAATATTTTTTTTATTAAGAAACAGCAGCAACCACAGTTTTATTTTATAACTAATATATACAGATATTCGTAGCTTTTTTTACCTAATATTAATCCTAACTACTAATATTCTATCGTCACACACTTCGTCTTCAGGTATTCGTTTAGAGCTTCCTGACCTGGAAACGCAGAACGTTAAGAGGGCTCTGTAGTAAATAGCCAACCAGCAATATATTTTTATAGATTTTATTACACGGTTTGTGTAAATATAAATCCATGCACAAATAACAGACTTTGTTTCATTCTAGAGTAGATTTTCTATAAAAATGGACTTGAAACTTGCCACTTTTGAACAAGCGGAATCGTAAGTGACAAATTTCTTTACAACAAAAAGTAGTTTGAGTTTCAAACCAAGTTCATTTTATAGGAAATCTGCGTTAGAATGGAGGAAAGTCTGTTATTCGTGCATTAACTCGTACTTAGACAAACTGTGTAACAAAATCTATAAAAATGTATCGCTGGTCGGCTATTCGCTATAGAGCCCTCTTAAATATTTCATTTCAAAACCTGAATAAATAAAATCGTACCTAGATCCTTCCCGAATCCCGACTGCTTGAACCCGCCGAAAGGCGCCGCCACGTCTGTTTTATTGTACGTGTTGACGAACACCGTGCCGGCTTCTACCCTCTCCGCGAACCTCAACGCCTTGGAGATGTCTTTGGTGAATACCCCGGAGGCCAAGCCGTATTCCGTAGCGTTGGCCCTCTTCAGAACCCCATCGACATCCCTGTGAACATCGCAAGATGGGTAAACGGCCAAAGGTAATTAATAAAACAAATGAAAATTTGTTTTATTAAAGGTAAGTCTAGTCCAACAACTAGAGTTAGTGGACAGGAAGAGGAAGAGAAGAAAGAGATCCTAAAGAAGCGAGGAGAGATTTTTCTTTAATTTACTCACCCGTCGTTGAACCTGCTGATGATCATGACGGGGCCGAAGGATTCTTCTTTGGCGATGTACATGTGGTCCTCTACGTTGCTGAAGACGGTGGGCTCCAAGAAATATCCCGGTCTCTTCAGTCTTTTACCTCCGTACTCCAGTTTGGCACCTTCCTTTTGCCCTGGAAGTTATAAACAGTTGTTTCAGCGCCAAAACAACGCACGATAAGAAGCAAACCACTCGCGCCACAAAACAGGAGAAAAAACTAAATGAAACTCAAGTATTTTTTTCAATAAACCTTCAAAGGTTCATGCTCGGCGGAAACAACACTCGGCAAAAAAATTAAAGGAGCAGAAAAATCAGCAACAGAACACGTCGATTTGTTATTTTCACATATGGCGTTTCTCTTTGAAGCACTTACTCAATAACAGTCAAGTATGTGGATCGTTAATTTGCATTTTTCTCACCGATTTCGATGTATTCCAGCAGCTTCCTCAAGTGCGGCAAGTGATTCTGGGGCCCGTGGGCCGTAGACCGGTGTAAGGGATCCCCTATCTGTATCTTCCTGGTTTCTTGCACCACCCTCCGCACGAACTCGTCGTGGATGCTGTCCTCTACGAAGAGCCTGCCCGCCGCTATGCAGTTCTCTCCTTTGTTGAAAAACACGCTCTGCATGCCCTAGAAAAGCGCCGGAAGTGCTTTTAATCGTTGCCGCATTCATAAGCGAAGCGACAGGTGTTGCTATTTATAGTACTTACCAGTCTGACGGCTTTGTCCAAGTCGCAGTCCGAGAATATGACCAACGGCGACTTGCCTCCCAATTCCAGGGAGACTTTCTTCAGATTCGAGTCGGCGCAGCTCCTCATGATGACCTGACCGATCTCTGTACTGCCCGTGAATCCTAACTTTCTCACTTCTGGGTGCGACGCCAGAGCCTGACCTGTCACGGACCCTAAAACAAGCAAAAAACAAGGAATTTGGCGATTTGTTTTGATCACGCAAAAGAAGAGATGGAAAATCTGCCCGACTTACCAGTTCCCGGAAGCACGTTTATAACACCAGGCGGTATCCCCGCCCTTACGGACAATTCTGCGAACTTCAGGGCCGTCAGAGGACAAACCTGAGCAGGTTTGATGATGACGGTGTTGCCGGCGGCTAAGCAAGCCGCCATTTTCCACGACAGCATCATCAGGGGGTAGTTCCACGGTGTGATCAGCGCGCAAACTCTGAAAAAGGAAAAAAATCGAATTTCACCTATGTTCTGAATACAAATCAGGAAGTGACGCGTCGAACTCGAGGAACAACTCCTAAATCGCTCAGAGATCAAGGACACACGCGTCCAAGGACATCGGGATTGTCATTCAAGCCATCCAGGCAGCGTCGGTTCGAAATTTTCACCGACCTTTCGAATCGCGATAGGTCCACCGCCTCAGACAGACTAAGTCAAAGCAAACGACGTTTAAAAATAATTGAAGTTAAAAAAATACTATCTAAAAGAGAGATATTTAAAAGAAAATCCTCTAAACTTTTTCCAATTGTTGTGACCGACATTCATTAGATGTCAGATAATGGATGCTTACTCAAATTGCAATACATACATGATATAAACGCATACAACAGACTGTGGAAATCTCGTTTAGAAGGCTTAGCAGTTCTTATAATGCAACCAAGACCAAGTAATTCATGTGAGGGATAAATGTTAATTTGGAACAAAAAAGTACACCCAATTTTTTTAAATTAATGCAAATTTTGATATGTTCACTCATTCACTTTTGACAGATCCTTCTGGAGTATAATAAAGTTCAAACATACTGAACAATGCTGGGGGCCAAGAACTGAACCCTGAGGTACTCCAACAGTAGATTCTATTTCACTCGATGTACTACGACGATACTGAACTTTCAATGATCTGTTAGGAGGTAAGATTTGAAATATTTTAAAAAAGTTTATCGATATACGAAAATTGTCGTTATCGATTCTGCCAAAAGATTTTGGCAGATCCTTTAGGATGAAAGTTTCCGAAAATTGCGCATTATTATTGCAAAAAGCGATGGATGTTGATGAAATTTGTGGAAAAGACGGTCAATTCAATGACCAACATGTGTGCTAAAGGCCAATTCGATTGACAGTGTAATTGTTGCTCCAACTATTTGTTAATTTTTGGAATTGATTGTTTAATCACTAAATGTTAATCTTCGATGTTAATATCGTAGATATAGGACATAATTGACCAAAAGAAACGTATCGAAAAAATAGAGCTTATTTTTACGGTAATTAAAAAAAAAGACAAATTACCATCGCCAATTATATTACATTGTATTTTTTTAGTGTCCTTATCCCCTTGAAATTTTCAAAAGATCCATATTCCGTGAAAAAAATCTTCCTATAAAGCAAAAAATATGAAATAGAAAAAAATATTTAATGTATAATTTACGACACATTAAAACCGACAATGTATATATTTCATGACGACATTGTATTTGTCTCGACGAGATAACCTAAATAAAATCATCAAAATTGATGGAGCGGTTCTCGAGATAGAGAGGAATCGAATTTGAAATGTTCAAGTAAAAAATCTCGCGCGTGACAAGGGCGGCGCTCACGCGCATGCGCGGGCTTTGCACTCATTCTCCAGTGTGCAGGCCGTTCATTAACATTAACTTTTACTGCTGTTAGCGCGGTTATCACAGGAACTATCATTGCAAAATTTTTTCAAAACAAAAGTTTAACCCTCTCTTTAATTGTCCCTATAATCTCAGTCCTATAAGTGCAATAGTTAATTCACAATTAACGTTATAACAAAAGCTATATTTGGAACAAAAGAGGCCTAGGTGATTTGTTTTTTAATTACCGTAAAAATAAGCTCTATTCAATGGAAAAAGAGCGAATTCACGAGCGGCATTTGCCTTACCTTGGGACAACTTGTTTATAACGCTTTTTTTAATTATCTCGCTTACCCTATGGGCTCCCGTTTGGTGAAACTAAGGTTTCTGTTGGGTCTAGCGTGGGATACCGGTATAGTAGATCCCTGTATCTTATCTGTCCATCCGGCGAAGTACCTCCAAGTCTCGATGCTCATCCCTACGTGCGTTTTTAGGGCTAAGGTGTACACGGCACCGGAGTCGATGGACTCGATTGTTGCCAGTTCTTCGCGATGCTGTTGCATCAGGTCCGCCAATCTAAAAAAGAGATGGAAAATGGTCAGAGTAAGTGAAACTTTTCGTAGAGGTGTACAAACTAACCTAAACAGCAGTTGGCCACGCTCCCTGGCGCTGATCTTGCTCCATTCGCCAACCTCGAAGGCCTTTTTCGCAGCAGCGACCGCCTTGTCGACATCGTTTTTCGAGGCACATTGGACCTGGAAGTATACAATGTATTGGAACATTATTTATACTGAAAATGCATCGGATGTATAAATTTAGATCAATCCAATGTGTAACAAAGTGTTGAATTAAACAAAGTACAACATGGCTGATATCACATTCACAAAAAAACACTCAGACACGGTCCAAATCTAGATACCAACTGAATTGCGTATTGCTGGCTTGACAGCTTAGTACCTCGTGTTATCCGCCGCGCCGCTGTCGCATTGCTCGATATGAATTTTATCAAATTTAAAATTTATTACAACGCTAATTATTTTTTAGAAATAAACATTTTATTTTATGGTATTCTATGCGCGCAAATGTCAATATTCCTTAATTAATCGAACTTTTGTACATCAAGTTGGAGATTTTGATAACTTCTTTCTCGGACATGTCATATAAAGTTCTTTGTTTATTTTAATCGTATTTTATTTTTTTATTTTTTTCGTCTGCTAAAATTAAGCCAGTCAAACTTCCAGCGCCCTGTAGAAATTTTTTAAAAAATGCGATTTTTATCCGTTTTTTTGCAATAACTAATACATGTGTTTATCAATTGACATCGGGCTCAGCTCAAAATTTTTGTTATAAAAACTTTTACAACTTTTGTCTAAAACTTTTTTTCTAAAGTGCTTAGTTGATTTAATGAAAAAAAAACCTGTTTTTTGCGAATTTGGATGCCATTTTAAAAATTAAGCCCTAACATTCAACTGGGGTAAAATAGTTCATTCAATTCTAGGAAATATTTCCTAATTTGTACGTGTCTTTGTTTACTGAACTAAATTTTGGCAGGTAAAAATCTAATTTGATCGTACTATACTTCTGAAAGAGGAATGTAACTGTTTCAACCCGAAAAATAGATATCTTTGAAGATCTAGTAGTACCTAGTAGACAATATCGCACGGCTCCTTGATTTGAATAAAGCATTTTGAAATAAAACAACGGAAACCAATCTACAGTCGATGAGAGCAAGCAAATAACCGCACTGGACTTGACACAGTAACTGAATTGTAAGCAATTCATCAGTTGATTAAGTGGCGTAGTGCAGGGTCGGCCTAAGTTTCACGAAATAATTCTTGATTAATTTTCGGGAACTTATGACACTTTCGACCACGACAATGGGTCGCTTAAGGAGGTATATCGGGTTTACTCAAATGCACAGATGTACTTGAAATTTATATAGCGTATTACCCAGTGCTCCCTCTGTGCGTCATATTTTTTTGAAATTTTTTTTGAATCTAGATTTTGAGATATTGTTATTGAAAGTTGTTCATTTTAACATAGGTTTATATGGCGAAGATGGCCGGTGCGGCTCTTTTTTGCCCATAACAGAAAAAATTTAGAAATTGTGAAACAAAACTTTTCCATAGATAGTACACAGTATTATCTTATTTTTGATGTAAAACTAATGTAAGTTTTGAAGATAGTATTAATTAGAAACAGAAACCAATAATGGCTGACTTAAGGATTAATGTTGCAACGTCATAATCAGCTGACAGCAAGGAGGGAATACATTTGAAAGACTTGATAAAAACGAAATTGATTTCAAACATAAACATTTTCCCTAAATCCCATGTACATTGTTATCAATAATAAATTATCCACAACAGATGATTTTTTGTAATGTTTTTTAAAAAACTAGATTAATTAAGAAAGGCCAGGAAGCTGTGATATATTTATTGGAATAAAAAATAGTTGATAAATCCTTTTAATATATTTAATGGTTTATAAAAATATCGTAATCTGTACCCAGCAATATTTAGGGTCACATAAAGTATTTTTTACTCGATTAATATAATTAGTAATACTTGACATAAAAGCATCTGTACGGAATAACAAAGGAACGTAAATATTTCTCAGCAAACTTTATATCCAAAAAATTAGTTATAGCTGCAAAACTTTTGTAACATTACTAAAATAGAGATGAAAAACACGAACAGTGAGTAATAATGTAATTTCTATCACAGAACCTTTAAAATTGCATCCAACATTTTCTTCGACTTGGACGAGAGATGGGCGCGAGTGTCATTTCATTTCTTTAGAACTAAATTAACATAATTCTCGTTGTTTTACCAGTTCACATGATTTACGGATTTTAAATAAAGGATACAAATCTTCGCAAGGATAATACGATACATTTGGTATATATAATAATTGTATTGTACATAGTTTACACACAATACATTTTTGAACGCGTACGCATCTTTACCCCAATTTGACGCGCAATATCTCCGATGTCCGAGGTCTGTAGGTTCGCAGTGTGTGCAACTGCTAGTCCATTATTAGCGCTGTTGCCACATCTACATAATCTATATGCGTTCATTAAATATAATTTAAAACTACTTAAATATGATATTTTTATGTTGTTAATTAGTCAATATGTATGCTATGTGCATATGAGTAGATTTATTTGCAATGTAGATAATGTTTATCGCAAATAATTTCAATAGAATTTAATTTTTTCAAATTGGCAGCGAGCCTTAGTCCCATAAGAAAAGCATAGGACCCCCCTGCGCTCCTCACTTCTCTCGGACCCCGATATGCCTCCTTAAGTAGATGTTTTAATTCTTTCCAGAAATCGCATAATATATTTCAAGTTGGCACTGTTGTCAAATTGTGATAAAATTCCCTTTTTTTTGTTCACTTCTGCTGAATGTCATATTTTGAAGTATCAGCAGTCGAACTTCCAAGACACCGTACAAACAAAGGTATACTCACGTCACAGATGACTTCTTCTGTTGCTGGGTTCACCGTAGGTAAAACCTTGCCGTTTTCCGCGTCTATGAACCGCCCATCGATGAACAGCTGGCAGGGGAACTTCACCCTCATTTTGTTGACGTCTAGCTCGACAGCTCTGTACTCCACCTCGACCTCTTGGTTTCCACCTCGGCTTTTCTGCACGACGTTTAGGCAGAACTCGGAAAAAACCGGAGCCATGAAGACGTCGTCGTTCTCCAGCTCGGTTTTGAAGAGGTCCTTGACTTCTTCCACTAGTCTGTACATATGAAACGCGTTAGAAAATTAAAAACGTTTCAAAATTTTGACTCACCTGACTACGTCCATAGATCCAGCACCGCAAGCAAAAAAATCGGTGTCGTCTTCGATGTCCACGCTGAGAATAGCCTCCCAGATATCCCTCACGGACTCGATCAACGTCTTTTCCTCAGAGGTGTACTCAATCTGGACCTGCTGAATGATTTGGTCTAGCGTAGCTGCGTTCTTCATCCTCCCTACGGAAGCGACCGGAAAAATCTCAATGCTTCATTACTAAAACACAATTTCCTTACCGTTAATCTTAACTTTCTTAACGTTCACGTAGTTCCCGTCAGATCCCACCAACAGAAGTCCTCCTTCGTGGATGATACCTGGCTTGGTTCCTTCGATTTCCACCTCTTTGCCGATGGGTACGCCGGACTTCCACAGAGATGACCCAAAGAGCAATGCTTGTTGAAACTCTTCGGATCCAGGTACCTTCATGGAGCAGCTTGCACCCGGTACAGAGTCCATGCCTCTGATGAAGTTGTGCAGCTCCTTGGCTGTCTTGGACCAATCCACCTGGGTAAATCAATTGCATAGCATAACCAGAACGAGAAACGTATTTTTTTTGTCCCGTACCTTTTGCAAGTCGGGTTTGTTGAGCATAGGATCGTAAGTGGCCCCTTTTTCGCTCTGTGTGATCTTGGGAGCGGTGCCGTCGGCTACCATGTCCACGGCCCTGGCAACAGCGGATACACCAACGGGATAGAGGAAGCGGTTGTACAAGGTGTCCACTGTGTCGTCTTCGAGGACGTCGCATTCTTCCTGGAGCAGGATTGGGCCGGTGTCCAAGCCGTCGTCGGCCCAAAAGATCGACAGCCCGCCTCTTTGGTCTCCACAGATGAGGGTCCTAAGAAGAACAGTGAAGTTTAGTTAACTTCAAACCTTCATAACTCGTTTTTTTTTTTTTTTAAATGGAACATCCTGTATGTTTTTCTATAGTCTGATACACAACTTTAATCTCTTTCGAACGTATTAGGGCTCCCTATAACTATCTCTTTTAGTTTGAAGCTAGTCACTATTCCTCTCCATTTTTTTGAAAAAAATTAAATATCTCGAAAACGGTTAATTTTAGGAATAGGGAAACTTCATAAAAGTCCACCTAAAATAACACATAGAATCCAAAACTGTAATAATATATAGGGCGTTCCATTTAAAATAAGCAAGTTGATGGCGACTTCCGGTATAACCGGAAGTGGTACGTGGACGCCATTATTTTATTCGAGAAGGGCATGCCCGAAAACCCGGTATCCCAAATTTTCAAAATTCAAATCGAAGTAGTCTCTGAAATAATTCTAATGGGCCGTCACCTCGAGACACCCTGTATACGTACTTTCACCGAATCTAAGCTCACAAATAAATTGGACAAATATCTCTGTCGGCTTCAAATCGGTCCTCAATTGCTATAAAAAGAGATCTATGACGTCACATTTCACTGCATCGACAATAGCGCCCTCTACGCGTAGTCAGGCTAAACCGGCTCCATCTCTGGGCGATGGAGAGTAATGCGAATAATTGTACCAAGTTCATACTCACCAATTTATAGAGCTGGCTCCTCGGTGTCTTGGCAACAAGGAAGGGTGGTAGCAGATACTGCTCAGTCGAGGGTAATTAATGACTTCCATTGGTATGAATTGGGAACAGTAGGGAAGGACGTTCAATTCCGCGTTGACGCTCTTGTAGGCATCCAAAACCTCCGGAAGAGGTTTGCCTTGCCTCCGCCAGGCCTTGAATTTGAACACAGTGACGTCATTCTCGGCAGCTACCTTAGCTAAAATATACAAAACAAAGATATGTATTTCAAAAAGCTATCTATGTTATAACTACCGTGTCAAAATGTTAATGAAATACATTATCCAGATTATTCAGTTCAAAACATTGGTAAAATTTGTGAAAATCTAGAGTTCCTCCACTTTCCTTGCCTTTTTTGTTCATCGCCAACTTGATTCTAGTGAAATACAAGAATTTTGTTGCAAACATAAACTAATGACGTAGGTATCACAGCTTACTAGAGTGTATGGCGTCACTTCTGGCATATTTGGCGGGAGATTTGAAAAATATGAGTCCCGACAAAGAAAACGCATATTCTTTCATAATCTTTCGATAAAATTAACCCGTAAAAGCGTCTACAATGAATTAATATTGCATTTAAACGTTATCTCTCGACGTTTCTCGAATGATCCAAGATTATAAGTTTATGTAACACGTATTATAATCCCTTGTGTTTACCATACTCTGAATTACGGTGATCTAGTTTTGTCTATCTCTGCATGCTGTCGAGGAATGACCGAATATCAGTCGTTTCGATAAACTATGACCCGTCCCCACAAAATTTATGGCAAAATCAGAAGTTATATCTCTGTTTATACTTTTATTATCTAAGAAGCATTTTTAAACCCAATCTTTATTGGTTTATATCAATTATAAATGCATATAACGGTCTGATTAAGGAAAATTTATAGGGATTTAAAAAATACGACACGTTTTAAATAAAAACAATTATACAGATAGGAAAGTTGTTGCACAGAAAGTGTTTGAAAAAGGTTAGGTGCATTTTTGAATTGTAATTAAATAAAAATGTGTGTTTTGTAGAAAAAAAAAACGTTAATTAATACCTAAAGGATCTTCTCGTTTTCCTTTGTCTGGTATAGTGAAAACGCCCACTATGATATGTCCGTGCTGCCTCAGTCTGTGGAAAACGTCGACTGCAAACGCGCTTTGTCCAATGATGGCTACCCTAAGGGGTTGGATGGCAGAAGAAGAAACTTGCTGAAAAAAAAATATAAACGAATTATCTTGCTTCTATTTCCATTTTAATATTTTGTAAAATAGACGTATAGTTTTGACTCTCATGAAAAATGTGAGTATGCGGCAACGTCGCGGGACGTTGGCTCCGCCTACAGACATCGATTGTTTCTCAAAGCGCACTCTTCGAATCTCATTTAATTTTTGTTAACCTTTCCATTTTAAAATAAGGAAATGCCAAAGGTTTTTGATTTTTAAACGTTTTTCTATCATATAAATCACCTTGCGAGAAACAAATCTATTTATTTCTTAATAACCTTAGTCTTACATACCGCTGTTACTAAAACGTATTTATTCCTCTTTCGAGAGAGACCTTGGCTTCTGTAATTACTTGATTCTCGATTGTACATCTACTTCCTTACGATTGTCTTTTGTTTAAGGTATAAGAAAAACATAAAATATTGTGCGGCAAACTTTTATAGCACCTACCGCTGTATTATTAAAATTATAGAAATATCACAGTAACATTATTATGCATCAGCTAATTTAGTGAAAGAGAAAGTCCTGTATTTAGTGATGAATAATAGTTATTTATTGTATAAGTGTTTTAAGTAGAATTTTATCCACGCAAGAGCGTTTAATATTCTTAAGTGGATAAAAGGCAATTAAAAGGCGAATGCAATACAACGTTTTATCCATAATCACGTCACAATCATATTTGTGAAGTCAGAAGTATTGGAATTTAATAAAAAAATATTCGCGCAACTTGAATCGCAGCAGAAATATTTTAATAATTTTTAATTATACCAAAAGTCTCGTAAGTACATTACAACGGACGACTATGGATTCCTGGACTCGAAAGGGTTTATTTAGTCTAATTCACCTATAACCGGAATCGCTTTGTTTGGCCGCTAGATGGCCTAAATGTTCCTGTGGAATTTTTGACGTTACAAAAAAATTTAGCTTCACCATACATCAAGTTTCTAGCAGTTGTAAGTTTTAAATATCACTCTGTATAACATCAAACTGTCAAGCAAAAGTACACACCCCAATCATAATCAAAATTAAGTTATTAAAAAAATTCAAACACATTTCAGGAACTTTGAAGCGGTCAAACGAAGCGATTTCAAAACGATTCAATTAATTTGATGTAAATTTTTTCGTACCTACTTTTATTTTCAGTACAAATCACATAATAAGAGTGTAGATCACTGGATCTGGGCGAGGTCCGAAACATTTTCAAAATTGCAAAAATGTTAAAAAATTTAAAAAAAACACCTATTTTGAGTTTTTTACTTATATCTTGGATCCTATGCATTTTGGAAGAATATTGAACAGGAAAAAAGTTTTAGAACTTAATTTTGCACAATATACTGTAAGTTTAAAATTTATTATCGATGTTGCAAAATAGCAATAATTGATGAAAAAAAGGCAAAAAAGTTTTTTGGATAAAAAAAATTTAAGAGTGTAATAAAACAACATCAAATTTCATTAAAATCGGTACTATAGTTTTCGCAAAATAATTTTTTGAAAAAATTTTTCGAATTTTCAAAATGTTGCACAGCTTCAAATAAAGCATCTAAATACTTGATAATTTTTTCACATAAAAAAGACCGCTCAACCTTTCAAATGGTCTTTCAAAAATTGAAATCGGTTTATTAGGACGATCACAGTAAATTTTTAAAGTTAATACTCTTTTTTTATTTTTAAACAATTAGATTACATTTATCAGTTTGCAATTTAGTATTTTTCAAAAATTATTATTTTAAAGTACTCGGAAAGACGCTTCTTTAAAAAAAAAAAGTTAAATTCCATTTAATTGTTCTCGAGATTTAAGCGGTCAAACTTTATCGGCATTTACCGTTAATTTATAAACAATTTAGAAATAATCTTTGGTCCAGTGGCTTCGTTTTTCCGAGTTTTAAGGTGGGGGCTTTCGCCTCGAGACTGAATTCGGAGGTTCAAAATGCGAAGGTACGAAAAAAATTGTATTATCTGGGCTTCTAATGGACCAATTTCTATCTTTTTTTATAATCCGATGTCTCGCGAGCCAAGGAATTCAAAAATCGTAATGCCAACTGTCTAATTTGCACATATTTTGTTATAAACAAAGTTTATTATTTACGCATTAAAAAAATACTATGTTTTACTCTGCTATTTCATTTTTTCAGTGAAAAAATTTGTTTCAACACTGATTATGAATGTATTTAGTTATAATTATTAGAATTTTGTAAATAATTTTTGTTTAAACAAATTAAAAATTATATATTTGGAAATTAATTTTTTTGTTTAAACAAATTAAAAAAAATATATTTGGAAATTAATTTTTCTGTTAAAGATAAAATTAAGAAAAAATTATAATTTTTGAAAAAAAAACTAAAGATTGAACGGTCTTTTCTATGTGAAAAATTTTTCAAGTATCTAGATGCTTTATTTGAGACTGCAACATTTTGAAAATTCAAAAATTTTTTTCAAAATTTTTTTCAAAAAATTATTTTGGTGTCTTATTATACTCTAAAGTTTTTTTACCAAGATTAGACTGCCCTCGGAGCAATTAAAATATTTTAAAAAAATTATCCAAAAAATTGACTATTTTGCCTTTTTTTTATAAATTATTGCTATTTTGCAACATCGGTAATAAATTTAAATCTGTTTAACTTTAAGTATATTGTGCAAAATTCAATCCAAAAATTTTTTTACTCGTCAATATTCTTCCAAAATGCATAGGTTCCAAGATATAAATAAAAATCTCAGATAAAATAGGAATTTTTTAAAATGTTTTAACATTTTTGTAATTTTGCAAATGTTGGGGACCTCGCCCAGATCTAGGGATCTACACTTTTATTATGCGAGTTGTACTGAAGGTAATCCAGAAAAAAATTGCTTGCCCTCTCTCACATCCACCTCAAAACAAACAGATCCGCCCCGGTCCAGCGGTAGAATTTTAATTTCCAAGAAACAAAAATGATGCGTTTACTTACATTTGGAGGCATACTGCCTTTGGTTTAATTAAGAAAAAAGTCCAAAACAAAAAACACAATCACTTCCGCAGACGTAACAAAAATTAGACCATATAGAGTCTATTATATTAATTCGGGTTAAATCACCGCTCTAGCGTCGCTAGTTCTGTCGACTCGTTGTTTTTCCATTGCATTGATTTATATATAGCGTACTTATCTGCTGGTGATTTCGAGCAAATCGTTAGATATTTATCCCTTTCTCTTTCTTGGATATACAGCATGGACATGCACAGTATAGCACGAAACAAAAATACAGTTTTTAATAGACGTATCGCTAAAAGGTTCTTGTTTGGGAACAAAGGTGACATGGTAACAAAAGTACAGGGTCCCCAATCTTAACTTAACTTCTTTGTGCTTGCTAGAAAATTATTTTTAGTTTCTCAATTTTAATTTTGACTGATTCAAAATAATACAAATACCTATACAGGGTGTCCGGTAAGTACCTCCTAATCTCTCGGGAGTGTATAGGGGAGGTCAAAATAAAACTAGTCCTTCCTATAATTTTTTTTCCTAATGTGCCCCCTAACGGAGTTATGGGGGGTCAAAGGGGTACCTAGAAATTAACGTTTAGGGTTATAACTTTGAAACCACCCTGTATATTTTAATAAAATTTTCGTACGTTGTATTACACNCAGTGAGTGTCGATTATGGTTGTGTACATGTCGATGGGGTGGTTATAACACAACTTTAGCTTGACAGGTTGTCCACTAAACGCATTTTGTAATAACCAACTGTTTATAAGTACTTTATTTTTCAATGATTAGATGAAAGTTTGCTTGTTGAGTTTATTTTTGAGGTAATTTGCTTTTTAAATAGTACGATTTTAAATTTTATGATTGTATTTGTTATTGAATTTTTTGTATTACGAAATTAATATTTGGTTAATTCTTATTCTATTATAATTCCCTTGACGCAGGACTTGGCAAACGTGTAATTGTTGATGCGCATGCATAAACGATTACGGTCCATATAGGCCAGTCAAATTATCCAAAAAATACCTCGTTTTTTGCCGAAATTTAGTTCAGTAAATACGAAAAAGCCCGATGTCAATTAATAAACAAATGTATTAGTTATTGCAAAAAAAGGTTAAAAAGCGCACTTTTTTTTAAAACTTCTATATATTTAAAACGAAAAAAGACTTTTTTACGAAAATTTCAGAATATGTAATCTTTGGCAAGTAGAATGAGTGCATTTTTGTAAAATTTCAAAATAGTTTATAGTTTTTGCAAAAATTTAGTTTTTCAAAAAAAAATACATTTTTTTCAAGTTTCAGTAAATCATACAGTATTACACTTACGTGACCCATCTTGGGCTTTAAATTTTCTCTAAGAATTGTATTTTCTTGCGCAAATTGTGCGCGTATTGCAAAATAATCGGGATTATGCGAAAAATCTATCGAAACTTTGACTTCTTTTTTCGGGTCGAAAAATGCTGATCTTTTTCTTTTCGTTGAAATTTAATCGGAATAGCATTATTGCCATTTGAAAGCAGACATTTTTTCACGAATTTGAAAAAAAATTTCCTACAACCAACAGGAATATTTAAAATTCACTCTCTATATCCTAGGCTCAACTGTCTCTCTGTATTTATTGAAATTTTATGGGACAATTAACTTTGATTGTAACACTGAATTCCAAACAGCGGTTAATTGTACTTTTAAATGTTTCTTTTATAATCTAAATTACATTTTTTAACATATCAAAACAGCACCATTAATTGTTATGAATAATTTGTTTATTTTTATTTGTTCGTCATTCATCATCATAAACTGTTCAATTGTTATTAGTTTAAAATAAAAATAAAACATGTAAAGCTATATTGGGTTTAATGAAAAACTGTTCTACCTTTTCCAAAAAACCTTTTTGTCTCTTACCATTGCTTTCATTTTTTACACCGAGAAACTAACTCTCTTTTAGATAATTACCTACTTCATTGCACTACAAAAATACATCTACTCGAAATAACCTCTTTGTACGAAGTAGGTAGCTCGTAAAAGATTTTCTCCTATTGTCGACTTTAATTCTATTGTTAACTATTTAACCACATTAGCAGCCGTTACTACCAAATAGTGCTGTAAATTGTTTGTAAATATTTAACTACCGGTTGGTAATAAAAAACACATTTGTTTACTTCAACAGTACCTAACCTCACTTTATACATTCTAACCTAAATATTTACTCGAAACTAATGTCGCGTTATCAAGCTGTCAAATCTTATAAAACCTTTATAATATAGCGCCTACTTGAATTTAACGCTGGTTATAATGAGGTTATGATTTTTCTGCCATTTGATCACTTGATCTACCCTGTACCTACATTGCAAATGTGTTAATTCCTGTACTATGATTCCGTTGCAAGTCTGAAAAATGTATTTATTTACCAAATTTATGTATAATTCTTTGTTGACAAACCCATCAATTATATCGTAAAAAGAAATAAAATGTGCGGATCTTGGCTGGCTAATTGTAAGATAATAATTGATGTTTGCTTGTTTTATTTAAGCTGTTAGTGTAAATTAATATGCTGGAAATTTTTTGTCCTTGATTTTGCATGTGGATTGCAAGTCAGTATCTATATTATTAATTATTTCTCAATTACTGGTAATTTAATTCATTTGCGCGTTGCTTGGAAGTTCAAAATGTACTTCTATATTACCAACCCGTCTCCACAAGGGTTAAAAGCTCATTTAGCATACCTTTTTATAATTCATATTCAGAATATACACATTGTAGTTATTTGATGTGCAACAAATTAGATTTTTTTTTTTCAACAATTTCTCAAAATATTTAATGAAACCGGGAAAATGCAGGGAAACCACGTTGTGACGTCATACCGTACGTTAGCGGCTAGCCCACGTACTTCGCTGGGTTAATTTTTGCTAAGTTGGCAAAGCTTTACATTCGTATCATCAAAATGGCTTTTGTAGTGATTTACATCAAACTAAACGTTCGTCAGCGAAATTATTTTTCCTATTTCTAGTTTCATCTACAGTGATAAATAATTCCCACCTTAATGCAATCGTGTACTTCTGTTAGTTTCTTTTTTTACGCTATGTATACACCGATGCCTTCAGAATAATAATTACTTAGGTATATATTTCCTCCAAAATAATGAAATTATTCATTGTCAAACACATGCATCGGAATTTTACACGTACTGGACGTGAAAATTGTGCCATATAATAAAAATATCCAGTACGGCAGCCGTAAGGGTCGATTCTCACATATCTGGCTTTCAATATAGGCTTTTAAAAAGTTTACAACGCATGGATTACCCCACAAGATAAGAAAAGTATATTATATGAGCAAACATATGGAAATTCTTCATTTCAGTTGTTTTTTTTTTCAATATTTCCCGAAATTAAATTTTCGTTGTAGTCATACTTATTATTATCGTTATTATTATTATTTATCAGCTGCCACTTATCGATTTATATACACGCGACAAGCAAGCACAGTTTCTGACAGAAAAACAAACAGAATCAACGCGTAACATGTAATACAGAAGTGTCCGTCCTGTATATAATGCAGCATAAGCAACGTGACATGTGTTTTCTTAAAGTGGCAACAGGTCAGACCGAGAACATCGAAAACTGGTTATTTCCAGTTCGAGAAACTTATTTTAATTCGATACTTACTCAGTTCCGCACCGATGGTAATTAGAGGGAGGGGACATGGAGGTCCAGCGGTGGTTAAGAGCGAAATTTACAGTCACTCCGTTGCTACTAAGTCTTTCTGTTTTATAGTCGCCCTACGTCACCATAAAAATGCCTGCAACTTTTCTTACTCATTTTATAACTTGGTTTATGAGTTAGAATCGGTTAATGTCAAGAGGCTTCTTCTATTTAACAATGAAACAAACGACTATTACAAAAATATGTAATAATGAAACGAATAGTCTTTAGAAAATTAATCGAGAATTATTACGCGCAACTTGGGCCGCCCGTGTACCGCTCCGCTTAATCAGTAACTAGGTCACGTTCAGTGTGGTTGTTTGCACGGTACTGGCGCAGATGCTTATACATTTTTTATTGGACCAATTTTTTTATTAAATACAGTATTTTGGCATTTCGTTTTCGAAAACGCCCAAAAATAAAACGGAATATTATATTACTATAATGTTAATGTACACTCAACATAGAGTGCGCTCATAATTCATTAACAGTCGCGAGATGGCTCCACAGTTTAAAACGTAACCATTTACTGCATACACTTGCATGACTTGCATAAGTTTAACCCTCTTTCTTTTCCACAGCACAAAGTATGTTATTTACCGCTGGTGGAACAGGTTTTTGTCTGGTTGTTTAATAATCCTTGTACTATTACATTACGAAATGCCTCTCTTGAAGGAAAACCACGATTTGCGTTTATTTTTGTTTAGATATTTAGAATTGCGATAGGTTTCGGAGTACAGATAAATTTTATTACGGATATATCGATGCGAAAAGAAGTTTCTTAGAAAAAAAGGACGTTTCTAAAAACAAGATTGTTTGTTGTTTACGGGATTATTTGCTAATTTGTTTGTTGTTTAAGATCTCATAGTCAGAATGGGTACTTTTTTTTTAAAATATAAAGAAGTGAAGCAACAATTATTTTGAGGTTATATCTGAAAAAACTGGCAAATTAAATTTGATACCTTAATAAATTTCGGCTAGAAAAGATAATTCAAATTAATATAAATCTTTTCAGGTCATTTTAATAATTGGTGTTTGTGGAGCTTTGAGAGGAGATAAGCTATTAAAGGTAACGATCGATGATATAGAAGACAAACATTCAATTATTATTATAAGAATTCCCGATTCCAAAACTAATACTCCGAGATGTTTTGTGATTACCTACAAGATTTTAAAAATAAATAGTAATCATCCTGTGTATAATATAATTATTGTTTTGTATGGAAATGTTATATTAAGATGTATATTGTTTAATTAATAAAATCATAAATATATTTCAAAAAAGTGGTAAATTATTTTGACATTTGTTTTATGTTCTAAACGAAAAAGACTGGCGTTCCAGAACATAAAAGTATTTTGCACCTAGGTGACAAAAAAAACACTGTCAATTGAAAATTTAACGGAAATGTCGACTTTTGATAACAGTTTTCGAAAATAATAATTTCTTACTCGTAAGGAAAGCGATTGTTGTAAATAATTAACAGTTGAACTAAGTGTTTCGTTGTTAATCGTCTCCGACGATCGGTATGTACCCATTTCAAAAACGAAAATGACCGTTCAACATTTACGGAGGTCGCGGGTGCATATCTAAAATAGTTTGTAATAGATGCTATTTTTACCAATGGTGGCGACGCATCAGCTACTTCACATTTTAGTAATCTGACTATCTGCGTTATTGTTCAATAACATGTAGGTACATGTCTGCCACTGACCTGAAGCTTCGCATCGATCAATTTATTCGAAACGTATCTAGCAGCTCCCTAACGCCTGACTTCAAACAAAATTTTAACGAACGAGCTGCTGCATTAAGTTTTGCAGTAACTTATCGCAATAGTCGTCAAAATGCATTGAAGTAAACAGGAAACCATAAGCGGGAATCTCTATGGATGTTATAATTCTTTGGATTGGAAACACAGGAACAATTCCACCTTGTTAAAACGCAGTTGAAAAAAAAAATGTCATGTGAGGATGACTTAACAATCTTTGTTATTACCAGAACCTTGGGAGAATTCCGCCACAGATAAAAAAAGCGCGAAGAGATATCGCCTCGCTAAAAATAGGACATCAGGAGTCCCCTACGTAAACATAACCTAACTTTCGTCATTTCTGACCCCCAACTAACACCATAAAAAATTGTTATCGCCAACACAAACTGGTACGAACAGGATTGGGCAAAGCTTCGCTGGCAGTTTTTTCTGGCGTTATTTCGTAATAACAAAATATTTTTGTATCGTTCGTATGGCGCAACAAGCTATCGGTCATATGGCCTGTGACCTGCGACCTTTTGAATTGAATAGCCTATATTCGATTTATTTTTAGGGGGAATATCATCGAATTCTAACAAAAGACCGCTGTAATTTACATTTCGTATCAAAATTGAATGAGTCTTAATTTCAGTTGATTATTTCGAGAACAGCATTAGTAAACATTATTGCCAAATTATTTTCCTTGACGTTAAAATTTCTGTTAGAGGGTATAAATTAGATAAAGAAGCCTCGTGTTCTATCACGATCTTTTTACTGACAATACCATTTGCTCCTGTAACACCATACAACATTTTCACATTTAATGTAATGAAACACAAAGTATCAGGGTGTTCCACCTAACAGGGATTCTTCTGTTACTCTGTAACTGTAAAATTTATAATAAAAATGCTTTCAATCAAAGTTGTCTTGGATCATGTGGGCAATGTAAAGAAAATATTTTTAGCTTTGTTATTTTAAACACCCCGTATATTATTACGTTTTTGAATGCCTTGGTTAATATTAAGTAGAGTTTATTAAATGTACATGGTGTTTAAAACTTGCCGTTTTCGAGATAATAAGTTGTTTTTTTTTAAAAAAAATCACCATTTCAGCTCTCTAAATGAGGCTAGACAGCGTTTAAATTGTAAAGGTTAAAAACCTGCAGTTTTCACAGTTCGTTTTGGCATAAATTACTCTATCTTGTCATCTGTGAGCGAAACATGTACGTTATTCAGACTCGGAAATACCGAGACCTACATTTAATAATCTTACGGGTTGAAAAACTTTTTTTTTTCAAATGGAATGACCCATATTAATTGTCATAGGTTGTCCATGCTTATTTCTAACAGTTTTCCAGAAAAATCAGGTTCTCTTCTAAAGTCCGAAAAAGTAGCTATGTAACAGCGTCAAGAAGGCCTTGCAATTGTTGACAATGTCGATACATAGGATTTTTCAAAAGCACAGCACAGCACATCCTTATCGCAACAAATTACACAAAGAGTTACTAAAAGTAGACTTTCAGCGGAGACTGGAGTGCTGACCAAATTTGAAAAGTCTTTTAAAAACCGAAATCGTTTGTGTATTAATCAAAATGGAGGACACTTCGAGCAATTGATGTAAATCAGGGGCCTAAGCATTCTTCTTGTTGTGTTCCGAGTTTCAGTTTGTTCGGTTTTGCGTTTTGTTTTAGTTGTTATTAGTGATTTAATTTTGTTTGTCAAACCACTTTTTAAACATGCTAGTAAATATTAACACTGTCAGTCCCAAGCCTGATCAAATATGAGAGAAAAGTGATTTTGCAAGGCCTTCTTGGCGCTGTTACATATATATATACTTTTCCGGACTTTATAAAATAACCTAATTTTCTGGAGAACTGTTAAAAATAAGTATACCAGTCGAAAGGGCATCCAATTTTACATTTACCCATGAATTAATGGGTCATTCCATTTGAAAAAAAAAGTTTTCCAACTCGGAAGATTATTAAATGTAGGTCTCGGTATTTCCCAGTCTGAATAAGGTACACGTTTTGTTCACAGATGACAAGATAGAGTAATTTATGCCAAAACGAACTGTGAAAACCGCAGGTTTCTAACTCTTACGGATTAGACCCTATCTAGCCTCATTTAGAGAACTGAAATTGTGATTTTTATCAAAAACAATTGAATATCTCCAAAACGGTAAGATTTAAACACCATGTATATTTAATAAACTCCACCTAATATCACCTAAGAAATTCAAAAACGCAATGATATACAGGGTGTTCCATTTTAAATAACAAAGTTATGTAGCGCCCACGCGAAACGGAACACCCTGTAAAGCTAAAAGTATTTTCTTTACGTGGCCCACATGATTCCAGGCAACTTTTATGAAAACCATTTTTTAATAAATTTTACAGTTGCAGAGTTACAGAAGAATCTCTCTTAGATGGAACAGCCTGTATAGTATATACAAGGTGTTCCTTAATAATACACAAATATTTATGGGTGCGATTCTACACGGAAAATTAATGATAGTTTTCTTTATAAACTAGAGTCCAAAAATGTTCCGTTGCGAAAATACGGTGTGTTAAAATTTTAGGAAAAAGAAGGAAATTAATATTTTCGAAACCGCTTGAGATATTTCAATGATATTTCGTGCGTAGTGATTTCTCCAATAATTTGGATCCCGGTTTACTTGACCAACGGATATGGTTTCAACAAGACGGGGCACCACCACATTTTGTTCAAAATGTACGGACCTATCTGAACGAAGTGTTTCCGAATAGGTGGATCGGAAGAAGGGGCCCAATTGAGTGGCCAGCAAGGTCACCCGACCTTACTCCATTAGATTTTTCTATGGGGATATCTAAAGAGCAAGGATTATGCTCTGAAAAAGCTCTAAAATGAAATGGTAATCAACCTACCCTTTCATTTTAAAAAAGTTGGGGTTGCTGCAACCCCCCCACATAATCAAAAAAATAAACAAGCTCCTTGTAGCATGCCCCATTGAAAATAAAAATTGACGTGTTTCAGGGATTTTGCGACAAACCTCTATTTATTAAGTTACAGAATTTGTTCCAGTTAAACTTTCCTCTCTGTATAGGCAACCAACACAACTTAGGAACAGCACAGAGTTTTAGTCACTTCGGTTTGAATTTTCTTCCGTATCTATCATAATTTTTTACCATGTTAGAACAGTTTATCGCACTAAAAACTTTTTACAACCAGAGGACTTCAGTAGTTTTTAAAGACGCAGGAGAAATATAAAATGTATGTATGTACGTAAGTCAACAGATGTCGCTCAGTACTCTGACAAAACAGGGCTACGAAATACAGTTACACAAGTACCACATAACATTATGTGACAAGTACTTCCCGGTCTCGTCAGCAGGAACTGGCGGCTCGCGCTTCATTGGCTGAGTAGGATGCGTTATCTAATATACGCGATTTCCTAATTCAACCCAAACTGCCGCTGATTAGGCTGTAAAGCTGTGATAAAACAGCTGATTTCAGTTAATTTGTTTATCTGATAGTCTATATGTGGTGGTTATTTGATTAAAAAGATCGCTAGAGACATATTAAGCGACGTTTAACCAGGTGTTAGTAATATAATTATACGAGTACCTATAGGGAAAACAATTGAAGGCTGGGTAAGTCAGAAAGCTGACTAGATTTAGGTTATATTTTACTTACATTTTTGTTGAAACTATATACAGGGTGGGCCATTAGTGTGAGAAAGTAAAATAACTCCCTTGTTATTCATAATACAGAAAAAAAGTTTATATAAACCTAAAGGACAAAACTGATTTGAAACTTACAGGGTGATTATTAAAAACGGGACACGCCAAATATTACATTTAAAATGGAGCACCCTGTATATGTTTAAACATGGATTTCTGAAAAAATTCTTTATATGGCAATATAAACAGTTTAACATTATAGTGCGGGGTTACCAAGTTATGTAGAAAATTCTT